CGAGCTGCACAGCCGGGGGACACCTCCGCCCCGGCAGAAGGCGGGAGGTTTTCCTTCTAGAAAAGAGAAAGCAGGGCAACTTAAGTGTGGGCAGCACCGGGCAGAAGCTGCGAACCGGGCGCAGACAAGGGCAAACTACAGGATTACGTGAACGTGCACGTGACAGATGTAGAAGCCGTCACTCCGAGCGGCATAGTTGTAAGCGAGGTGAGGACACTACAGTAGCAGGGGGTGAGGGTGAGACTGTGGTCCCCGTGAGCCTGGCCTGGTCAGGGACGTGTCCTGCGAGGCACTGTGCTGCGTTCCAACAGGAAGGGACGTCTGACATGTAAAGCAAGTGGAGAATAGGAAGCCAGCAGAGGACCAAGTGCCAAGGTCTACCGCGCCGTCGCCATGAGCCTGAGAGAAAATCACAGATAAATCAGAAACTGGCATTGGACAAGTCTAGGTGCGCGCACTTCCTGAGAGTTTGGAAAAGGAGAGATCATACCCTTCCTCGAGCTGTCACTGCACCTCGCGTTGAAACACCTACGCTGAGGTACAGACTTAGAGAGTCCGCGTGTGGCCCACGATGGCTGCCATCTGCGGAAACCAGGGACCACACGTGTGCTGGACCCTGCACGTTCTGTGCTTGTCAGCATGGAGTGTGAAGTTCACGGGGAGGAGATGCAATTCTTGGAGTCGAAAAAGCTGCTGTCCAAAGCCATACCGAGCACAGATGCAGAGTGAAATTTATGCAGTAGGTGTCACTAAGTGGAACTGCGCCCAGGGTAACGAATCCCACAGGCCATCCTTCTGTCCCTACATCCGCAGGGAACTCACCGAGACCTCGCCTGTCTGTGTTTGTTCACCATGGCGCTCCCAATGTCAAAACCAGGTTTTGGTGCTCACGTTGTAAAGATCTCTATAAAAGTCGCTGTCTGAGTAACTTAGAGCAGAAAGGAAGCCTGCTGGTCATAATACCATTTATGACACAAAAGGAATTTCTGCCTCAGCTCAAAAGCTAAGATGCTTCTTATTCAGGGATATGGAGCATGTCGCATCTCTTCTAAGTGGGAAATGATATTAACAATGACAAAGATGAGAGGAACCAAGGAAGACAATGCAAAGGCGCAGATGCTCTTAGATGACAGGCTGTGAGGGCGAATGGAACACCCACACCCTATCTGTCCCCCAAGAAAATGACCTGATGTGGACGTGAGGTGACTCGGATTGTGAGAATCGCAGACAGAGGTGCCGGCCAGCGTGTGAGCCAGCGTGAGTGAGTGAGTGAGTGAGTGAGTGAGTGAAGAGGTGCCAGCCAGCGTGTGAGCCAGTGTGAGTGAGTGAGTGAGTGTGTGTGTGTGTGTGTGTGTGTGTGTGTCTGCAATGCCGGAGGTCTTAAAACTGAAGGTGATGTATATTAGATGGACACTACTCAGAACCGTAGCTGTGACTGCCTCGAACGGAATACACCGCACGAGAAAGCAACGATGTCCTTTCCAAAACACAAAGCCGCGTCACCGTCGACTGCCCGTGCTCGCTGTCGGTGGCCTGTGAGAGCTTGAAATTCGTTCCAAATATGCACCTAAAATAATGTTACGCTAACCTCGTCTATCTTATTCATTGCTCCCTCTTCAACATCAGCTCCTTTATAGACACTTAAAAGAACTATGTGACTTCAGGAGGAGGTAAATGTTACATTAAAAGGATCATTTTAATGACCTAAAAGTCGTCAATTAGCCATTGTTGAAAATAATTCAAATCAATTTAATGCACAAAAATAACCTATAAATTGTCAGAAAGTACTTTATAAATTTCAAGTGTCAAATAAATGGTCTATAATCAGAAGCGCCATCATCATAAAAATATTTTAACAGCCACAGAGTGACCATGGTGAAGCTATAACACTTTGTCCTCAGGACAGAGGAAAGGAAGTTCTATGTACATAAAACTGTGAAATAATGAGAAATAATTGTCGGTAAGCTTGCTGTCATCTTAAAAGGCAAATGCTCATTAAGGGCCAAAAACAAAACGAAAACAAAAACAACAACAAAAAAATTCAAGCAAATTCAAGGAAATCGAATGGAATTCTACTTACTTTGATTTCACAAATGCATCTTTTTGACTGATTCATTCCAGGTAGATGATATTCAACTGAATGTTTAAATTTTTTTCTTTAAATATGTAAGGACTGAAAAATGGACAATTTATTTTCTTTTTCGGGGGGGTTCATTTTGTTTTGTTGTTGTTGTTTTTGTGTGTGTTTCTTTTCTAAAAAACTTTATTTTGTTAGTTTCAAGTATAAAGGACATTGGTTAGGCATTTATATAGTTCATAAAACAATCCCCCTAATTGTTCTGTCTCTCCTCTGGCTCTCCGCCTAGCCGTGACATTAATGCTGACTGCATTCCCAGTGCCGTGCTCCCCATCCCTGTGACCCTCTAGCGACTACTAATGTGTCCTTCTTTAACCCTTCACCCCTGCCTCCCAGCCCCGCAATCCTTCTCTCCTCTGGCCATCCCCAATTTACTTTCTGATCTGCTTCCTAATACTAATTTTCATTACTCCAGGATGAAAGCACGCTGCAGAGTAAGAGAAAGAGCTGCCACGAACTGACTTACGTGTCACCGCTGTAAAGCCAGAAACGTATATCCAAAGAAAAACAGCAGTGAGGAGAAAACAGTGTCCAAATTGTTAAATATACACTAAATGTCGCTCATCACTCTTTCTAAGTCTTGGGAAGCTGCGGGGTCTGCAGAATTAAGCAACGAAGATGTCAACGGCAGTGAAAGTCAACCTCAGACATCCGTTAATGGCCTGGCTGGTTTCTCCATCTAAAACTCAGGATTCTCCCGCTGCTGTCTGTGTTAGGTAATTAGCAGCTGTGAAACGCTCTGGAAGCACAGACTGCTAAATAAATTATGACTGCCAAAGAATTTCAACCGTAACGTGTTAAATGATAATGACGCAACACGGGCTTTGAACTGCACCGTTTTTTGTTTCCAAATTAATAACGCAAACAAGACTCCAATCGCATAATATGGCTTAGTGGGATATTAGGTAGCAAGTCCAAGGTGGGGGTTCGAAACCCCAGAAGGGCTCCTGTTTCCCCAAGAGCAGTTGACCCAACTTTCCATGTAGTCATAAAAATAAGGTCACGTTCTATCTCTGGAGCTGCAGAAATATCGCCACCGCTCTGCCCGTGTCCACACGTGGGGGAATTCTGACTACAGTCCACTCTACTTGAAAACCCACTAAGCAATCGAGTTTTTGAGAATTCCCTCTTATTTCCAACTGAAATTCCGAAGCCACAGTCACGTTTTAAGCTATTTTCTGGGAATTCGTGGCACCTAATGACATTCTTCATAAAGTCACTGCTCCCTTCCCTCCCCACTCTCTGGAGGGATCATGTCGATGAGATGGTAGGCCTCCCTAAAAACTTTGAATGCTTTTTAGACTTGCTTACTGCAGAAATAAGGATGAAGGTATTAGCAGCGATTCTATGACCTTCCAAACTTCTATTCCAATGGCGGTATGAGCATGTTATAAGATTTAACATACAGACCAGGAAAGGTCACGTTTTTTTATTCATATCGCGATCGTACTGTTTTTCCACAGATATCTGAAATAACGACTGAGTAGTATGAAACTGAAAAACAAACAAGCAAACAAACAAACAAAAAATCCCAAAGAATTTTACATTAAAAAAGATGGGAAAACTTTAGCGATTAAATTAATTTTAATTCTCACTGAAGATATGAATGTGTAAATGTAGGTAGAAAATATAGTTTTCTATTTTAAATCCAAAATCTAATCAGGGTTTTCTTGACAAAGGACATCATTCTGGGAATTATTTGTACAATTGTAAATGTAGCTGTTAAAAACAGTTTAAACACCATTCAACAAACAAGCCTAAAATCCTGTTTATTATCTGTTTGGGGAGAAAGTCATCACCAATTACTATTTTGAGGAAAAACTAAACATCCACGGAAGAAATCAAAGTCAAGGGTATCATCCACATTAAAATGCAAATATATAATTCAATCCTCATAATAACCAAGACCTCAAATACCAGTATTAGTGACTCGTATTAATTTAATTGTGACATTAGCTTTTATAATCATAGATGTGAAAAGACCACCGTGTTCCAAACATAATTATCACGCCAGCATCTCATTTCATGAAATTATTAGTTAAGATGAAAGCCTCTGAACAAATTTGTATTTGATTAGTTTCACTTATTTAAGAACACTGAATAATTGAAGATCTGTTTGAATAAAAGGGACACAAAAGGGGCACTTCTGAGAAGTGCTGGCGTCGTCTGCACCGCACCATTTCTGAATGGACCCTCAATTCTCCAGAATGACTGACGACGTACCTTCCAGGCGAAGCCACATCAGCCTCCCCTTCACGCTGACGACAGAGGCCACGCAGAGTTCTCCTGGATTCCTGGGGTTCACGGCTTCCAGTTTCATGTTCTTTGTGAAACCCCGACTGAATGACGTCTGAAAGAGAGAAGTGACACTGAGCAGGATGCATCACAGCAAGTCAGCGAGCGGCAACTCGGCCGGCCAGCTGATGAAGCGGCAAAGCGCACGCACGCACGCGGGCACACACACGGCCATTATTCATAAGACGACCGGGCTCGTTCGCTTGTCTGTCTTTCCCGACACTCACGAGGAAAAGAACCACACCAGAAGTTAGAACTCTGCACGCACACAGTAGGTGCCTAATAACACGTGTTGAATGAGCGAGAGGATGAATATGTTCTCTCTTCCCCTTCCCATTCGCATCCTTATTCCTACAGAAAGAATCTCTGAGCTACAAATCCCATTTCTACTTCCCTATATTCCTCTCTGACATCAGACCTGGGCGTATCTGACGGGTCCTCATCTGGCTTCACCCTCCTTCAGCCTGAAGAATGTCCTTCGCCGTTTCTTTAAGTGCAGGCGTGCTGGTGATGGATTCCCAGAGTTTTCTGTTACCTGAAATGGCCTTTATTTTGCCTTGGTGCTTTTTGCTTCTTTATGTCTTTTTATCTATTTTCTAAGTTCGCTTTTTAAAAATTTATGCGTAGGAAAATTCCCTCTTTCTGGAGCACTGTTCGACGTGGGCAGGGCTGTGAGGTGAGTGCAGACAGTCATATGGCCACCATCATGACCGAGACACGGAACAGCCCCTTCGCCTCCAAAACACGCTCACACTGGCCATTCATTCAGTAACCAGCTCCTCCCAGGCTCCCAATTCCTGGGCCACTGATCTCTTTTCTGCTCCTATAACTCCGCCTCTTCCATAATGTCCCATAAATGGAGTCATGTGCTCTGAAGCCTCTGAGTCTGGCTTCTTTCACTAGCAAAATGGATGAGAGTCATCCGTGCTATTGCACGAATCAGTCGTTCATTCTATTCCACCCCGAGTCCTTAAGCGGAGGTCTCACAGACGATCCACCCATTTGAAGGACATCTGAGTCGCTTCCAGTTTGGGGGGATTGTAAATAATGTTGCTATCAACATTCAAGCACAAGTTTTTGTGCGAACATAAGAATCTCAGTCGGCCTCGGCTGCCATAGCAAAATAGCACAGACCAGACACCTTAAACAACAGAATTTTATTGTCTCACAGTCCTGGAGGCTGGAAGTCTGAGATCAGGGTGTCAGCCGGGTTGATGTCCCCTGAGGCCAATCTCTCTGACTTGTAGATGGCCATCTTCTCTGTGTCACCATGTGTCTTTCGTCCATGCTTGTGTTTTAATATCTCCTCTCCCTATAAAGACTCCAGTCATACTGGATTAGGGCTCACCCACATTACCTCGTTTACCTTAATCGCCTCTTTAAAGACTAACTCCAAATACAGTCGCGTTTGAGGTCCTGGGGGTTAGGACTTCAACACATGAATTTTGGAAAGACATAACGCAGCCTATAACATTGTTTTCACTTCTTTAGAAATAAGATTGCTGTACCATATGGTAAATGTAGGTTTTTTCTTTTTAAAAAAAACCTGCCAGATTATTTTCCAATATATCATTTTGCGTTCCCATCAGCAGCATATGGAGTTCCAGTTGCTAAACATCATCACCAACACTTGATGTTGCCAGTTTTTCAAATTTTAGCCATTCCCATAGGTAGGTCTAATGGTCTCTCATGATAGTTTTAACTTGTTTTCCCTATGACTGACAATGTTGAGCATTTTTTCTTTGTTATCTTTGGTTAAGGGTCTGTTTTTAGCTTCGCTCTTGAAGTATATTTTTACTGGACACAGAATTACAGTCTCTTCTCTTTCTTTTGGTACTTGAAGGAAGTCGGTTTGCTGTCTTTTGGTCCCCGTTCTTTTCGATGAGAAGTTTGCCATTGTTCAGATTGTTGTCCTTCTTTTTAAAACGCATCATTTTTCTCTGGATATTTTCAAAATTTTTCTCTTTATAGTTGGTTATCAACAATTGAACTACATTGGGTTTCTTCGTATTTATGTTCCTTGGGGTTCACTGAGACACCTGAATCTGTAAATTTAAGATCTTTCAGTGACTTTGGTAAATTTGGGGCCATTATTTTTTTTTCTTCCATAGTTTCTGTGGCCATTTCTTCTGGGTTTCCAGTTACATATGATAGTGTCCCGCAGGTTCCTGAAATTCTCTTCATCTTTCCCCAAACTACCTGCCCATCTTTTTTTCTCTCTGTCCTTCACATAGGATCATTTCTATCTTCAAGGTCATGAACTCTCCTCTCTAGCATCTCTATCCTGCTAGTGAGCCTTTCCGATGAATTTGCTCATTTCAGATACTCTATTTTTCAGTTTTAGAATGTCTCTTTTTTATACTTTCTACTTTTGTTCTGGTACTTCCTATCTTTGCATTCATTATGAGAATATCTTCCTTTACGTCGACGCTTCTCAAACTTTAGGGTATACCAGAATCACCTCGATAGTCTTTTAAAAACACAGACAGCTGGGCTACACCCCAAAGTCTGGGACTCAGTTGATTTGAGTTGAGGCCAGAGATTCTGTATTTCCAACAAGTTACCAGGTGATGCTGAAGCTGTTGGCCTAAGGACCACACTTGGGAGCCAGTTCTTTCCACTGTGGAGCTTAGATATAACAGCGGCTTTAAAATACTTGCCTGCTCACACTAACATCTGGGTCACGCCGGGTTTGGTCTCAGCTGATTATCTTTTCCACTGAGAATGAGTCAGATTTTCCTATTTCTTCATGTGTTGAGCAATTTTGGATTGAATTCTGGATGTTTTAAATGTTAGGTCATGGAAACTCTGGGTTATGTTATATTCCTCCCAGAAGCGTTGATTTTTCTGTTCGAGAAAGCAGTTAACTTGGTTGGACTCTGTCTCTTGAGAAGCAGCTTAAATCTCAGTTCTTTTCTTTCATCCTTAGAAACCAGGCTGCGGGGAGTTTGCCTGGCCAATACATGGTTCAGGGATCGGCCAAAGTTTCAGGCAGCGTTTATACGCAGAATTTCCGGCTCCTCCTCCTGGCTCCCCCCTAGAACTCCCTTCAATTCTCAGTAGCTGTGGCTCCCCAGATTCTGTTATCGGGTTCATCGGGCCAGGAAAACTGTACATTTTATACTGCTGTTCGAGTCATCCCGGATGTCGTCAGCCGTGACTGACCTCGGGCCACGAGTCCGAAAACGTTGGGACGACCCCGCCCCCCATGCTTCTCCTGTCTTCTGAACAGCTGTTCCCTTCCGGAAACTGCCTGCTTTTGCTCATTCTCCACATCCCTCAGGTAGCTGTTTTTTTTTTTATTCCGTCCAGAGTTTATCGCTGCTTTCTACGAGAGGATCAGTGCAGTATGCGGCTGTGTCCGTCCATGTCGGAGCGGCTTCTGATTGGTGAGCATCCTCAGGGACATGTTGGCCACGCACCCACTCCCACACAACCTCTCCTCTGGTACACGCGAGACGTGTGATTAAAAAACGCATTCGCAATAAGCAACCCATTAAAGAGCACTTTTAACGAGCGAACAAAATTCTGCGAGGTGCCAGTAATAACAATGCATACACCAACAGGCAGATGACAATCCTGTCGACTAAATAAATGGGGAGCCAGGAACAAGGAGGGGTGTATTTGTATCCTAACGAATACACCAGCGTATTTACTGCAAGAAATTAGTCTGGGCACCTACATCCTGGGAGCTCAGAGGCCACCCAGCGACGTGGCAAGTAGCCGTCCTCATGTTTTATTAGCCCCATAGCACCACTATTAAAATCCATGTGGATGACAGCTGGCTGAATGGGAGCAGAGGACGGATGAAAAGGAGCCTTGGTGGAACTGTGTTATCACAGAAGAAGCAACTCCTTAAATACAGAACTGGGGGAGATGTGAGGATTTTCTTCCCAAAGCTAAAGAATCAGGGACGGATTTTTCTGCTCTTGTCAAGTGGAAGGCTCAAAGCCGAAGAGGTTTGGGGATGTGATGAGGTGTCTCCATGATCCTAAAGGACAGAAGCTTCTGCCACAAGTGATATCAGCATGGTAAGAAGTCGAATAACATTGGCCTGGACTTCGTAAGCCTTGAGCGCGAACCGGCTGTGATCCTCGTGGAGGAATGGTGACACAGCTGTCCCCTTCATACACCTGAACTTCAAAGCGAGGAGAACGATCTTTGTGCAGAGGCCATGTCAGCCAAGCAGAAAGTCCGTTTAACCATCCAAGGAGCCCTGACTCGTTTCTGTATTCAGGGGTACAAGTTGACACGGTAATCGACCTGCTCCATTCCCCACGATCCGTCTTTGACTTGGCTGAGCATCTCTCTGTTGAGCCAACACCTTCCACCTCTCAGTCCTCCGTCCTCACGTTTTATTAGCCCCATAGCACAACTGATGGGTGAAGCGGCGACGGGTCATTGGAAGGAGCCCGTGGCCAGAAAACAAGACCCTGACTCAGGAGCGCTCAGCACCGCAGGGTCTGCAGTTCCCCAGCCAAGGGCTGTCGCTTTTCTTACCATAAGGCATTAACTTTCGTCACTGAATGCATGTGTGACACACTGGGCTATACATTCATGTCTCATTCTTAAAATGGAGACACTAATTCATGTCTCCTTTCAGAGTTCCACGGGTCGAGGAAGTTTAAATGAATAATTTATAAGCCGCTTAATACAACCAACCTTACAAGGCAAGTACATACATGTATGAACACACACACACTGGTTTCACGTGTTACAAAAATCCTATGATTATGCCAATATGCTCTATTTGAACAAGATAGGGGCTTAAAATGAGCCAAGGACAAAATCGTTGGACCAGCATCCTACTAAAGTAATCCAAGACAAAAAATAATAATAATGTCATATTTGAAGAATATTCCTTAGGAAGAGAGAATCCTCTATCAATAGGCTTATCAATTTCACACTCCATAACAAGTGCCTACTAATGGTGACAAAGGTGGCTAGCTGGTCACCAGTTTGTCCTCCTTCTTCCACAGTATGAAATCATAGCTGGGCACATCCTAGCCTCACATGCGGCCCAGTGCAGCCAAGTGACCGTCCTCGCCAGCGGGAGGGGAGTGGAGGAGTACGTGTCAACACAGCCAGAGTGTTTAGAACCAGCGCCGTCTTCCCTGGATCTCTTTTCCTACCTGCTCACCAGACTCAGGTGAGGACAGGAACAAATAAACCTATACCATGTTTGAGCCGCTATACACTTAGCAGTCGATTTGCTACTATGGTCCAGTATTATCCTAATACACAAGCTGAGAGAGGACTTTTCAAAAACTATAAGGGTTCCGGGACCCTCCGGTACACAGCACTCTCATCTTGCTCGAGAAATGGAAAGCGACTGATAACACTCATGGCCAGCAACATCTACGACAAGAGGAATGGCGAGAAACGAGCTTCTTACGTTTTTGAAGCAGAAGGGAGGTGCTTCTTCTGTTCCATGCTGCTTGTGATAATCTGCCCAGTCAAAGTCCGGACCAGGGTAGCCTGTGCAGGACAAAACACCAACACAACAGCCTTAATCAAGCGAGTTCTCAGACTAATGAGCAGCTTTACGGTGTGTCACTCATAAGGGGTGCAAGGGTAGGCCCCCGAAAGATGAAGCTCTTCCTTAAGCCTGAGAGCACATCAGATTTCATGAGGGTCGAATGAAACACTTATTTTTCCCCCTTTCTTGATTCATTTCATTTTGGGACAGGAGCAGGGGACTGCAGTTATACCATGTATGTCCATCATGACCACCATGAGAAGACACGGGAGAGGGTGAGAAAAAGCAGTTCTAAACCATAAAATAAGAAAGGCGGTGGGCGTGTGGCCTGACCTAGATAGGAAAATACCTCTTTATGAGTATCTGCATTTCCTGTGAACACGGGATGGCACGGGAAATGACAAAGATGGTATCAATTAGGATTAACAGATACTACACATTTTGTTAGGATTAACGAAATGATACTATACACTTCGTTTAGTGTTCTCTCTTTATTGGTTTAAGTGTGTGTAAAATAAATCTATATTTGATGCAAAAGAAATCAGGGGGATCTCTCCCCTCCCCCATATTGTCAGAAATTCACACCTGCAAATTCGCTTAACATGGGGACTTTGGTTACTGAATCCCACGGTTGTAGGGTGACTACCGAAATTCTTTTCTTTCTTTCTTTCTTTAATTTATTTATTTTAATTAGTTTCAAGTATGTAGTACATTGGTTAGACATCTATACAGTTCATAAAACGATCCCCCGCAATTGCTCCCTCCCTCCCCTGGCCTCCACCTAGCCAACGTATTAATGCTGACTGCATTCCCTCTGCCGTGCTCCCCATCCCCGTGACAATCTATCAATTACTAATTTGTATTTCTTTAACCCTTCACCCCATTCTTTATTACAGAAAAGGTGCCAGATGCCTCCTACCTTCAAATGTACCCACAAGTACAAAACAGTATTCTTTTCATTAAGGAGGCTGACCTCACCCAATGTTTTTAAAGATGGGGGCTTAACGGGAAAGGCAGCTGGCCTCCTCTGGCCTGGAATGGACCCTGAGCCTCCCACGCCCTGCTGACCATCACGGCACTGGGACCTCCTTCCTTCGAAGACATCCCCGTCTTTCTACACTGACTGAAAATCCCTCATTTCTCTCCAACAAGGAGGCAAAAAGTCTCAGGGTTTCGAGACACTGTGTACTCTTTCTAGCTAGTTCTGAACAGGTTCTGCACATCTGCCACCCGCCATGCCCCGGCCACTCTCCCCAGAGCCGTTCCTCCAGCCAAATGCTCTTGCATCAGAGGCTTCTGGAAGGGATCAAACCACCTTTCTTCTAAATATTCAAAAGCAAAACAAAAACAAAGTAATGCGAGTTTCTGTACAATTAACATAAGCCTCCACTTTGAAGGCAGTGCTCTGAAACTTTTGGATCAAATCCTCAGATGGTATCTCTTCCCTGGACCTCTGCCACTCCCTTAGTTGATTTTGTGAGTGAGGAAATCTCACCAAGATCATGGAGGAAGGGGAAAATTGGGGGGAAAAACTGATATAAATGGATAGTAAAGTATGTTTTGATAGACATGAAATCTAGGTATTTTTCATGGTCACTACCTGTTTAGATAAAACTTTTAAACTTAGAAGTCACCTCGACTGCCCTGATTGACATTTAGCTGGGTTTTCTGTAACCACGCTCGTAACCCCCAACCTCCAATGGGCTTCGAGCCACTCCATAAAATGTCAGGCTCCTCGGTTTCCTGAATCAACATTCGCTGCTCCGGATCCAGTCTTCAAGACAGACTCTCCACGAAGAGCCATTTTTAATCTAATATTTTCAAGAGATAACTAAGTCTTGCTGGGTACATAAGCAACAATGAATTATCTTGGCCCTAGAATGCTCTCATTTCCCTGAATATTTGAACAACCTAGAATTCTCTTCCTCTTCCTTCTCTTGGGGACCTTTATTCACTTCATCACTTAAAATTCTTTTTCCTTCAGGCTGATAATGAGCTCTCTTTGTAAGGCAGTTTTGTGACAGCTCAGAAAATAACTGCTACATAAAAACAAATTGCTAGGGCTTGTATAATACAGACAGCAGGGGTCAATTATACTCATTAATCAACAAAGACAGAACAAGAAGTACTAAGGCTTAACTGCAGCCAGGAGGGAGAAAAACGAAAAACAAACAAAAAAAAAACATGTTTTAAACCTAAGCGGGAGGAAAATAACAGAGGAGACAAGAAAATAAAAAGAACTGGAAAGGCTTTGGGCTGTTAAAATGTGCAACAAGCTGCCATAGGAGGCTGCTGAACTGCCACCACCAGAGTTGACTTAAGATTTTATTAGTATTTATTCTGAAGTTCCAACTGTTACAGATCCAAAGGGGGGACAGGTCGATGACCCGTTTCCATGGGACACAAAGGAACTGACATAAAACAGCTCCGCTTGCAAACACTGCAGTTGGCGGTGCAAGTTCACGGCTCTTCGGAAAAACAATTTGGCAGTAACGATGTTCATGAACTCTGACACGATTTCATTTCTGGGAATGTATCCCATAAGAACTCTAAAAAGTGAAAAAGCATTATATGTGAAGATACGATGGCATTTTTACTGATAATACTGGTGGTGGGGCAGGGGGGACTTTACATCCAAATGTAAGAAATAGTATGAAATTTATCTAATCCATGAAAAGTTATGCAGGCATGAAACTGTACATAAATGTTTGTTTAATGTATACGATAATGTTTGTTTAAAAAAAAGCCATGAATAATGATTGCTACAGTTTTGGATGAAAAGATTGGTACAAGCATATACAGAATTGTAAAATTTATATGAAAAATATGCAACGAAAAAGACCAGAGGCAATGTAAGAAAAACTTAACGGTAAATATCAAAATAATTATCTAGGTAGTGGAAATCCTGGATACTTTTTTCTTCTACCTCTTGGCATTTTCTAAGTGGTCACCAATGATCATGAATTATTTCAATAATAAGAATTATTTGAAAGCATAGCATCTTTGCTCTAGTTGAAAGGATAGTCTAGGGACGGGTCAATCAATCGAGTGTCAATTCAGTCCATGGAAGACACCATGACTGCCTCCCCAGAGCTGTCCTCCCGCTCCTAGTGCGCTAACAGAATCAGATCATACCATCGCTACAGGAAGTTAGGCCTCAGTACCAGGAAGTGACTCCCGATAACCCTGAGACAATCCTGGTGGCCTCAGGGCCCTTGCCGGGGACTTGGGATGAAGGGGAGGAAAAGGGTTAAAAAAAAAAAAAAAAACCCTCTCTAACAAAAGAGACCCCAAGAGTGAGAGCTGCTCTTCTATGATGGGTGGGTATGAAAAAAAAAAAAAAAATTTGCACAGTCTTAATAAAAAATAAAATCAGCAAAAGAATATCATGTTTGCCATCTAGCTGACTGGCAAAATGAAAAACAACAGGATGAGTCCGCCACTATAAAGGCTGCTGGGAACATACTTTGATGCGTTTCTGGTCTATGTGTATCTCGAAAAACCATTACAGGTGCCGATTTGGCAACACGTGTCATAATCTTTAGGAAGGTGTTTACTCTCCAACCCAGCCATTTGTGCAGGCACACGTTCACTCATTTAGAAATATTTAGTAGGTGCATGCTATAGGCCGGGCATGGTTCTAATGCTGGGGATACAGACGTGAACGACAAAACCAGCAAAGACCCTTTTCACAGAGCTCAGTGAAAGCAGACAGATAATTCGCAAATACGAAGTCAGATGACCACGAGGGCTACAGAGAGAAAGTGGCGGGGAGGCATCGCAAGGGCTTCATGGAGGACGAAGGCCTCGGCGAAAAGTCGAAATGTAGAATTGTTGAGGAAGCGAGCCATGTGGCCATCTGGGGCAGGGGTGTGCCAGACAGAGGGACAAAAAGCAAAATGCTAGCAGAAAATTGCCAGTCGGAAAAAGATAACGTAATAAAACGTCCACTTTTCTAAACTAACCTATAAATCCAATGCAATGGCAATTAAAATCCAATGGGTCATTTTTAGGAGCTGTACAAATCGATTCTAAAACTCATGCACAAAAATAACCAAGATGGCTTTGGAAAGAAAGGCAAGGTGGAGAGGTTCTCTTAACAGACATTGAGATTTAATATAAATTAAAATCAATTTTTAAAAGTGAGGTATTTGGGCAGGGATGGACAAACAGATCAACGAAGCCGAATAACTAAGAACGGGATACGGTTCACATCCACGAAGGGGCTTGATAGACACGCCAGCGGTGACACTGCAAATCAGAGAGGACACGGCAGACGACTCAACTGATGATACTGAGACAAACTGGTGAATTTGAAAACCCAATTCGATTCGAGCAAAAAAACGAAATTGTTTTCTTTCCTCGTGCCACAAAAAAAATTAGCTCCAAATAGATGAAAGCAAAACGTGAAAAAACAAAACTGCGAGACTGTAAAAGACAGCACAGACGAACATCGGCAGGAAGCGTTTCTGAAGGCGTGTAAACAAATCACAAGAGGAAAGATGGATTTTGACTGCGTTCCAGTTTAATGCTTCAACATAACGTGAAACACCATTAAAGAGGGAAGATGGGCATAAAGGATCATGGGAGAGAGGAGGAGGGGGATAGGACAGGGGCAGGACAGGGCAGGACAAATTCTTTCAGTGCTCAGCAAATATTTACCAAGACCACACCGTTCCAGTTACCGGGGGACGTGCAGAGAACAAGACAAAAATGCCCGCTCTCGTGGGTTGTTCGTTTTGGTAGAGATGGATTTGAAAAAAGACCAAAGATTTTACAAAAGATAAAAGTGGAGAAAAGCCATGCAGGGAAGCAGATAAAGCCTCTGAGGGTGGCGATTTGTGACTGGCATTAAATAAGGGCGGCCGAGAAAGCCCACCTCCAAATGCGATGCTGGGGTCAAGCCTGAGGAAGGGGACAGTGAGTGCCAGGGTCCTAAGGAAGAGGCGTGTGCCATGCTCCAGGTGGGGCTGCCTGGGGTGCATCTTAGGACGTGAGG